TCTTTAAATCATTTTCATACATATACAAGAGTACAAGGGTATATGTTCTACCATTCATGCTTATTTATTCGGAGAGACGAGGAACAACTAACTAAACATAAAATTTTGAGTTAATTATCGAAATGGTCTACTGACTATAGCAAATGTATCAATTTGGTCTTTACGGGTATTTTTTTTTCAATTAAGTACTCAACTTTAAAAATTTTATCCAATTTAGTCATCTGTTTAATTAGCCGTCAAATATATGTCTAATTTGAGGTAGTGATGGAATTTCACAATGCTACCCAAGTTTCCATCTCGCTCCCATGTAGCATAACAAATCTCCCTCGTCCCACAACTGCCTTCTCCCCCATCTCAACTTCCGACTTAATCCGACCCTAAATCTAAAATTTCTTCGATCTTCATCATCATCATCCTCATGTTTTGCAGGTGAACCAAGATAAGTAGGATAACTAAAATATTCGCCAGTTTAGAATCACACAAGAACCTACTGATTTATAATGGGCAAACAATATAATGATCCTTCAAATGTAACCCATCACCATGTTCTTTATTCAGTAACTCAAATCCAGTAATGTGTAACTCTCTTTCTGTCCTCCCAAATCGAATTTCCTGTGAGCCCAGTATCAATATCACTGAAGCTTCCATCCTTATCATCCTCAGATCAGAACTATCTTCTTCAATCGATCCTACTACTACACTACACCCTTTACTTGTTTCCTTCTCCCTCAACAACTTGTCTTTGCATAATGTAACATTCATCTCCTCTCAACAGTCAACAACACTAACATCATTTGATATCTCAGTTTTTAAATGCACCGCCCAGGAGAAAAGTTTCAAGGAGAAATAAGGAGCCGGCGTAGCTTGGACTTCCAGCATCCCCATCCTTGCCTCCGACGTGCCGATGAACAGCTGGACCATCGATCAGTTTGTGAGCGGAAAGCCGGAAACCCAAGTAGTGAAATTCCATCACTACCCTTGAATTAGATGGACATTTGACGACTGACCAAACGGAAGACCAAATTGAGTAGAATTTTTATAGTTGATGACTTAATTAGGCAAAAATAATTATTAAGGACTAAATCAATAATTTCGTTATAATTAAAGAACCATTTCAAAAATTAACTCTAAAACTTTGCTAAAATTGAAGTTTAATGAAAGAAGAAACGACACGGTTTTCAATTTTCATTTGCTTTGAGGTGTTGCTTTCATGGAGTTTGATAGCTGATTATTTCTTTGTTTTCTTAGGTCATCTCCCTCCCTTTTCCTCTAATCTCTTTATTTTGTGTGTTCAACTCTTTCACATCACCATATAATTTTTACCTTTAAACTGCCTCCATTCCTGAAATGGGGCACATGCAAATCTATGTGGTCAGTTTTTTTTTTCTCCCTTAAAAATTGTTTGTAATTACACATTTACACATGTCTTGCAAGCTTGCAAACAAGTACAGAAGTTATAATAGAGCCTACTTTTGAAAGTGAGCTAGAATTGTAAGGATGCATTGAAAATAATGAAGGAATTGTAAATTTGATGATATGGAAATACAACTCGTTTTTTTTTTGTTTTTTTTTGTTTTTTTTTTTTTTTTGAAAGAAAGCTAACTTCATAGCAAACAGTAAAACATGAACAATTAAAGGAAACAGAAAGGAAAAGCAAGCCGGACAATTTGACTTTAATTGGACTTTCGTGGCTAACACATGGACAACCCTATTCATCGATCGTTTAACAAACAAAAGATAGAGATTTGTAAATTTCCTAGTTAGTTCCCTAATGTCATTAATAATTAAGTCAGAAGAGGAGACCAACGAGCAACTTTGAATTCCTATAATTACTTGCAGACAATCAAACTCAACATGCACATAGTCAAAGAATCCCCCCGTGTATGTTGAATATTATTTAACAAAGAATCCACAATGACATCCCGCAAATGATCATACATCGGCGTTACAACGTAGGGGAATGTTGGGGTCGTTTACTTAATTTCTCTGTTTTTCCATTTCTCCATTTCTCCAGTTTTCCTTCTCCATTACTCAAGTTTTCCATTTCTCTATTCCTCCAGTTTTTCATTTATCCATTCTTCAAGTTTTTCATTTTTCTGATTTTATTAAATACAATCATCCTATATAGTATTTGTACATTTCTGCAACAAATATATAATATATAATAATAATAATAATATAATAATAATAATAATAATAATAATAATAATAACAACAACAACAACAAATTTGTGTGCATAAGGAGGATGAAAAAGGGAAAAAGATAATAATAATAAATAAATAAATAAATAAATAATAATAATAATAATAATAATAATAATAATATATAATAATAATAATAATAATAATAATAATAATAATAATAATAATAATAATAATAATAATAATAATAATAATAATAATAATAATAATAATAATCTGAAGAAGATGCGTCAAAGTGTGAAGAAGAAGTTGGCTTTGCTGTAATTGACATCGTCTTTGTCTTCCTTGAAAATCTAAAGAAAATCGAAGAAGTTGGCATTGCTGCAATTGAGAGCGTCTTTGTCTTCCTTGAAAATTGTAGTGTCAATATGCAGGAAGAAAATCTGGAGAAGAAGTGTCAAAACTTGAAAATCAGAAGAAGAATAGCCAGCAGGGTTCAAACACTGTTCACTCGTGTGTTTTCATTTCTCCATTTGGAGAAATTGATTTTTGGTTTCTCCAAATTTCTTATGAAAATTAAATAAGAATTTGGAGGAGTAAATTTAGTAAACAAGTTTTCTATTTTTCATTTTTCTACCTCTCCAATTTTCTGCTTTTTTGAAAAATCTTCAATTTCTCCACTTTAGTAAACAACTCCATAGTGTTTGGAAGCATGATTGTTGAGTCATCTCCTACTCTCCATCTGCAACTGCTTCTTAGGATGTTTTGGACTTAAAGTATGTTGCGCCAAACAAATGAAAGATTCCCCAAAGCTGCTTCAAAATATGTTGATCTAGGAAAATACTTAGCCTTGTGACCTTTGACATCAAAGAATTTTATTGTTGTATAATCCTCCAAACTTGTTTCCCCAACATTGCTAAATTAAACTCTCAAATCCTCTTAAATTTCATTCCTCCCCATGCCTTTTAGGTTTACAAAGTTCCTCCCACAGTGTCCACCTAATCCCACTACTCATATCTCCCTCACACCCCACCAATACCTGTTCACCACCCTCTCAATCTCCCTCCTCATCACCAATGGAATAAAAAAACACTCATGACATAGGTAGGTATATATGACTTGGTTTTATCAAGGATATGACAATTTTAGATAATAAAAAAACTTCGTTGTTAATCGTGTTTAATTTACAAAATGAGTGACCTACCAAGAAGTAAGCATAGTGTATGGGAATTTATGGATCCGTGGAGATCCATCAGGGGATTAATGGGTCCGTAGTAAAAGTGAATAGCAACCAAGTCATGAATTAATAATTTCTTGAAAATCTTAATCAAAACAAATAATAAAAGTGAATGATCATCATGTTCAATTCCTCAAAATAATACAAAAATTGTATTATGCATTAAAAATTATACATCCAACAAAATATTATAACTTTAAAATAAAACTATAAATTTTATGAAAATAAACATATCTATAATTTGCCATGATTGAATATAAACGTATTCTTTTAAAATACATTATAACAAATCAAGAAAATGAAAACATACTTAGGGGTGGGGTTCAGCCTTTTGGAAGAAGAAAATGAAAACATAATCTCTATAATATAATGTAGATCTATAATTAAGAATTATTTTGAATATATATATATATATATATATATATATATATATATATATATATATATATATATATATATATATATATATATGTATGTGTGTGTGTGTGTGTGTGTGTGTGTGTTTCTGTGCAGTTAGCCTTTTCAGGTATGGTTGTGCGGTTGCTTAGGTGCATGGTTTTTCTTCTTAAGGTGGTACATGTTTTGTGTGCTTAAGGTCCGTCAACCTAAAGCTTTAAGTGTGTGCGTGGTTTTCTTTCTTAAGGTACGTGATTTTTATGCTTAAGGTGAGTCAGTTGTTAAAACAACTTAAGGTGCGTGGTTTGTGTGCTTAAGGTGTGTAATTTGTGTACTTAAGGTACGGCATTATAAAACTTTAAGTGCGTGGTTTGTGTTCTTAAGGTGCGTCTTTTTGAGTTAACCGCACAACCGACGGAAAGCTATACCGACCGGCATTGAATCCTTCCTTATATATTTAATACATGAATATTTTGCATCAACAAATAAACATTATTTCAAAATTATGGTTCTGCATCATAATATCAAAGCCTGAAACTTATGATAATAATAAGAGCACCGTTCATGACGAGGGAAATTTATTTTTAGTTTCTAGTTACGCACGGGTAAATCTCGCCTTGCTAGGAGTAAGTAAATCAATTTAAGTTGTTCATATATAGCTGATCGGCCTATTGAAAATTGAAGTCTTATGATTACCAAATAAACAACTCAACTAGCTTGGCTAGGATTGTACACTAAAATAAAAAGTGTTCCTTAAATAATGTAAAATTAGGCCGGGGAAGATTAATTGACATTTTGTTTTGTTTTATATAAACTAAAAATGGAAGAGATTCAATGAAGTAATTGCAAGCTAGCTTTGATCTCAAAGAATAGATCGAATAGATACGTAAATGGTGGTGGTGTAGCACTACGCCACTACTAAATGGTCAAATTTGTAGCACCGTACCGCATATTCCAAACAGAAAACACCGTATTCTTCTCTTGCCCATGAAAACTCGTACTTCTTCATCTCCCTGTCCTTGTCGATTCCCAAAAACAAATAATAAAAATTTTTTAAAAAAAATGCAATGACTATTTCAATCTATTTTGGTAGGAAAAAAACGTAGTTGGAAAACCAAAATAAAGAAGAAAGAAAAGAAAAAGACCCAAGGAAATGGGAGAAAAGTGATAAAAAGGAAAGGAGTGAGCAAAATTCTCCTTCAATATCGGCTTGCCTATACCCATCCCATCCATTTGCAGGCACATCATCAGATCAGATCAGATCATTCTCTCTCTTCCTCTCGGAACCAATTCAGCCTTGTCTTTCATGTCATTTGTACAACATTCTGTCCGGATCGGAGACAATTCAAGAAAGAAGAATTTTTCTTGGAATTTGAATTTGAATTAGCTTAAGTAGAGAAGCTAGCTAGATAGCCATGGGGGAAGAGAAAGAGAAGTTTCAAAATGAAACACCCTCTAGCTCTGTCGACGCAGAAAACCAAAACCAAAACCACCACCACGACGAAAATCAAAAACCAGAGGCGGCCAGAAATGAGGAACAATGTGTAGAGCATACCGAGAAGCCGGCCTCCGTGGAGGCGGATGAGGGGCGGACGGCTAGTGATGATCACCAGGAGACGACATCCGGCGGTGGTGATCATCAGGAGGAGGAGGAGGAGGAGAAGGAGAAGATTGAAGCAGGAGATGGCGGGGAGGAGGAGGGAGCGACAACCAAGAATGAAGATGGGGAAGAAGGAGAAGGAGAAGAAGAAAAACCACGTTATCTCCCTCCCGATCTCTCTAAGGTATCTGAAGAGGTGGATCAATACATTTCAGATAATGATACGTTATTGGAGTCCAGAGGCGGCGGCGGAGACGATGATGAATCGTCCAAGTCTTCTCCTCCTCCGCCGGATGAAGTTCCCATATATGTGGAACAATTCGCATTGCTTCTGGAAGACTTGTTGCAGGGGTACAATACCGGCGGCGAGGCGGCCGTGAAATGGAGGGAGCTAGAGGAGGAGGACGCCGCCTCATTGTTGGAAGCCGTGAATCGGATTTGCAGGCTATACACATCCATCTCGCAATTCTATTCTCCAGAACGACAAAAATACGCCAAATCAATCAGCCGCGTAGGCGGAGTCCTCCACCGCGCAATGCGTTTCGTGGAAGAAGAATTCCGATCATGTCTCGACGATTATAAGTTCCCGGATCCTCCAGCACCACCTCAGCAGCCAGATCCAGCTTCCGACGATCCAGCTCCCGACGATCCCGCTTCCGGCGATCCAGATCCCGGCAACGATGAAACCGAGGAGAACAAAGAGGAAGAAGAAGAAGAAAAAGAAAAAGTAAAAGAAGAGGTTGATTCCAGTGGTGAATCGCAACAACTCCCGGCGGAGGATCCGCCGGAAGAGACGACACCACCACAACCGCCTCCGTATTTCCCGGGATATCCCGAGGAAATGGTGTCCAAATTAAACAGACTCGCCAAAGCCATGATATTCGGGGGGTACGAAACGGAATGCTGTCAGGTATACTTCGTGGCGCGAAAAAACGCATTGGAGGAAACTCTCCGGGGAAAGCTAGGGTTCGAAGGCTACAGCATCGATGACGTCCAGAAGATGAACTGGGAGACGGCGGAGAGAGAGATCTCAACGTGGATGGCCGCCTTCAAGCACAGCGCCACCGTGCTCTTCTCCTGCGAACGAAAACTCGCCGACGCGGTGTTCAACGACTGTCCCCAACTTTCCACCACCAGCGAGGCCATCTTCATCGGCTTATCCGGCGGCCTCATCATCCAGTTCCTCATCTTCCCCGAAGCCATCGCCATGACCAAACGCTCCGCCGAGAAGCTCTTCAAATTCCTCGACCTGTACGAAACAATGCGAGACAATCTCCCAACCGCGTACGAAAATTTCCCTCCAGATTACATAACCGAGCTAAAAGCGGAAGCGGCTTTAACAAGAGGCCGGCTGGGGGAGGCGATGGTGGGGATATTCTCCGAGCTGGAGAACTCAATCCAGTCCGATTCAAACAAAACCCCAGTCCCCGGCGGCGCGGTTCATCCCCTGAGCCGTTACACCATGAACTATCTAAAACTAGCGGGAGACTACATGGAAACGCTGGAGCAAGTCTTCAAAGATCACTGGAAAATCGAGACCGGATCAGACTTCGAGTATAACTCCGAGCAATCTAAGAGCCACAAACCCCCCACCGCCCCCAAACAATCTCCATTCGAGCTCCAAATCAGAAAAGTAATGGAACTTCTCGACGCAAACCTAGAACTCAAATCAAAGCTCTACAAAGACCTCCCGCTCTGCTCCATCTTCATGATGAACAACGGGAGATACATTCTCCAGAAAGTTCGAGAATCCCCGCAGCTCACCGAGCTGATGGGGGACCAGTGGGCGCGGAAGCAATCGCAGGAGCTAAGACAGTACCACAAGACGTACCAGCGGGAAACGTGGGGGCGGTTATTGCAGTGCTTGAGCATGGAGGGATTAATGAGCGTGCACGGGAAAGTGCACAAGCCGGTGTTGAAAGAGCGGTTCAAGAGCTTCAACTTAGTGTTCGACGAGATCCACAGGTCGCAGAGCAGCTGGGTGATTAGCGATGAGCTGCTGGAACAGGAGATCCGGATCTCGATAGTGAGTATGGTGATTCCGGCCTACAGGTCTTTCCTAGCAAGGTATAGCCAAATCTTCACCCCGGGGAGGCAGACCGAGAAGTATATCAAGTACCAGGCTGAAGATATAGAAAATTACATTGATGAGCTGTTTGATGGGAAACGCTAAAACATATATACACCCCGCACTAACCCCCCAATTAAAGCTAAGATTTTTAGAAGAAGAAGAAGAAGAAGAATACAAGATTCATGCGTGCATAAATGCATATATGCATGCTCGACTCTTAATCATGTAATAATTTTTCTTTCTCGTATTGTATTTAATTTGGAATGTTAATCGATTAAAGTTACGTTGTTATATAGAGAAAATTTCAATTTTGGTCATATGACTTTAGGGGCTTTGTTAATTTCAGCATATGACCTCCGGTCAAATTTCGCAAGAAAAATTTTAACCCTTAAAATAATAAGGGTATTTTAGTCATTTCACATATCTTCCTTTTTCTCCGGTGAATTCATTAGGGTTCAGATGGCCAACATTTTGGTTGAAATCTCCGAACAACACTTCTCTTTGTGCTCGTCCAGCGCACCTCCTGCCAAAATTCGGCCAAAGTACAAAGAGCCAATAAGACCTCTGAGGCTCAAACTCACAACCTCCCATATAGGAGTCCAACCCGGGTGCTATCTGTGCACAAGGTGCTTGGCTTCTAAAACTTATCTATCAACATTATGCTAAAATTGATGTTGAATAAATACTTCTCTTTTTGGATAATGTTGAATAAATACTTCTCTTTTTGGATAATGTTGAAAGCATCGCAGCGCACCTCATCCTCGAATTCGCCGGAATAAATACTTCTCTTTTTGGATAATGTTGAATAAATACTTCTCTTTTTGGATAATGTTGAAAGCATCGCAGCGCACCTCATCCTCGAATTCGCCGGAACAGATGAATCCGTCGGAGAAGAAGGAAATAGATGTGAAATGACTAAAATACCCTCATTATTTTAACTGTTAAAATTTTGTGGCGAAATTTAGCCGGCAATTTAACCGGAGTGGCCAAAATTGATAAAAATTGCATAGTCAAGATACTAAATTGACACTTTTGAAAGTCATGTACTGAAATTAACAAAGCCCCTATAGTCATAGGATTAAAATTGAAATTTTCTCTTGTTATATATGTTGTTCATTAAACTATTCACCATTTTTCAAATTTACACTAGGATTATATTATTAGTGGATTATGGCCTAGTTAGCTTATCAACCAATTTTGACTTATTATTTGACTTAGTTAAACAATCAATATTAGTGTTTAATTAATTTGTTTTTTTAACAATTTATTTATTACTTCAAAATGTTAAAATTCAAAAAGGCTAATTTACCAAATACTTTTCTACAATCAACTAATGCTATCAATTAGCAATCGTTATGCGTTGGACCCGTGTCCAGCATGCTTGCTGGACACGGGTAACAGTGCCGACGGCACTGTTATCTCTTCTTTTTTTTTTTTTTTTTTTTTTAAATTTCAGACCGCTTCATTGTAAGAGTATATGTTCATAATTTTATTACTATATGTTAATAACTATACATTCATAACTCCATAACTGTACATTCATAACTCTATAACTGTACATTCATAACTCCATAACTGTACATTCATAACTCCATAACTGTACATTCATAACTCCATAATTGTACATTCATAATTTTTGAAGCTCTATGTTCACAATTTTAGAGCTCTATGTTCATAATTTTATCACTATATGTTCATAATTGTAAGTTCATAATGTTAGAGCTCTTTGTTCATAATTTGATCAATAACTGTACATTCATAATTCCATACTGTAGATTCATAATCTCATAACTGTAGATTCATAACTCCATAACTGTAGATTCATAACTCTATAACTGTACATTCATAACTCCATAACTGTACATTCATAATCTTCGAAGCTCTATATTCACAATTTTAAAGCTCCATGGTCATAATTTTATCACTATATATGTTCATAATTGTAAGTTCATAATGTTAGAGCTCTGTGTTCATAATTGCATAACTGTATATTCATAACGGAATAACTGTACATTCATAACGGCATAACTGTACATTCATAATCCAAAAAAAAAAAATAACGCCGTTAACGGCAAAACGCGCGCGAATTTTTTTTTTTTAACTAAATGACGCATTTTTTTTTAAAAAACGACGTCGTTTTAGGCCCGTGTCCACAATTCAATGTGGACACGGGTCCAGGGCATAATTTGCCATCAATTAGCTAGCCAAAGCCACTAACCCCATTAGCTAATAGCTATCATCTAATAGTTATTTACCAAACACCCTCATATATATTATTGTATTATTTTTGGATCAATCATGTAATAATCATCTTATTTGACTAATATAATTTTCATTAAAAGTATTTATTTATAACACAAAATAGTGAAATTAAAGAGTCCAAATTAGTTACATGTAGATTATCTACCTAAATGAACTCTACCGTGCAAGTTTATTAATTATTTATTAATATATATTGGATTCGAGTTATTTATTTATATAATTATATATCCAGAAATGAACTCTAGATTATTAATTATTTCTGTGGATCTAATATTCACAAAAATGTTCGCAAATCATCAGTAAATGTATACCAAACTGAGATATTTTGATTAAAAAATGGTTAATCAAAATTCATGGATTCTGTTGGTTTTAATGTTAGAAACATTTTTAGTGTTTGTCTGTCTAGAATATTTAGTGTGTTTATAATTTTCCGTGCAATTAAGCTTTCCATTTAAGTTGATTATCTGCAATGCGGTGAATTGTAAAATTATAAATATGTAATAAGTGCAATTAAATTGTACTATTGAGCCAAAAAATTTGTGGTCAAACGGTATAATATAATTGTGACGTGACTTTTTTAAATGGGAGATGTATGAGCAGATACTATATAAAAGTGACTCATCTCAACTGGCCAATCCGATTCCTTGATGTTTGATACTTCAATTTCGATCATCAAGACAAAGACTCCTCCCTTTTTTTTTTTTTTTTTTTTTTTTTTCTGAAATACTATTTGTAAAGATAGCTGAACTGAATGATTTATTGATGTAAACACAATATGCTATAAATAGAGTACAATGAGAGGAAATAGAAAGAAGTTGTAACAAAGTTAAACTACAGGAGTACAACTAGAACAAATAATTATAGAACTAAAGCGAAATAAGTGTAGCCTAGACTTGGTGTCTCTAAACTGGAAAATTTGTGGTAGTGAATTTAATAGAGAAATTTGTAAGGGCATTTGATTGGATACTTCATTGGTGGCCGCATGAATAGCAATAGCAGTGGGGGCGGAAAGGAAAATAAAGAAAGAAAAATACTTTCGTAGGAAATTTAGGCTTTTAATACTATGTAAAAATAGTTGAATTGATGTAAACACAACAGACTATATAAATAGAATACAAGGAAAGGAAATAGAAGTTGTAACAAAGCTAAACTACATGAGTACAACTAGAACAAATAATTATAGAAGTCGAAATTGTCAACCACATGTAGTCTTAATAGTATTTACATCTATTGCTTTGTAAATAGCCAATGGGCAATGGTAATTGCATAAATATAATATGTAGTAATACAAATAGCATTTTCCAAAGCTAAAATGTGGCACTTGCATCTCAAAGATTCTTTGATTGCATTGAAACATACATTAAAAAGTGAAGAGAATATATACAGATCAGACAAGAGAGTAGAGTTTGAAGAGGAACTGTTCCTGCATGCATGGAAACAAACACCAACACTCCTTAAAGGTGCATTCGGTCCATACAAAGACAAATACCATTTTTTTTCTTCATCAGGTACTCACAGAAGGTCCAAAATACATGCAGATCGGAGGATCAATCTTGAATATTGAGAGAATTGCTGATGGTATTGTCCAGATCCCATCACCACAAATCAAACCCGAAGCAACTGCACCTGCAAAATCTTCCGAATCTTTCCTGTTTATCCTCTCCCACACGAACAAGATCACTGTGCCAACGAACATGTCAATGGCAAAATAAGCTCCAATATAGAATGGCACAGCCATTGCCATTGGAATAGGAATGAATTGCGAAACCTTTGATGGGGTCAGATCCCTCAACAGGTTTATGGCCAGAGCAGCTATGAAGAATCCACAGCATATAGCGAGACAATGCTTAGGGAGTTCGGAGAAGCCCTCGATTCCAAGAATAGCCATTTCTCTGTATATCACAGCGTATGGTGCTTTGTATGGACTATCGGGAGACCCGATGTCAAAGGCATTCCAAAACATGAAGAATGTGAGTGGAGCAAGAACACATCCCATGGCTGTGCCCACCAACTGACTAACAAACATTGATTTAGCGGATGAAAATGTGAGATAACCGGTCTTGAAATCTTGCATTAGATCAGCAGCAGTAGAGACGATGGACATCATAACCCCACAAGCAGCCAGCCCAGCTATGACCCCACCATTACTTCCCACCAGTGAAGCCATTATAAAAAGACCAATCTTTCCATATGTCGACGCCAAGCTCCAGTCTGTGAGTCCGGTACCGTAGGAATTGCAGAAGGCAAGAGCAGGGGCAAATATATACGCACAAAGAACCAAATACCACTTAAGTGGGGGGAAGATAATTGGAATTGTAGCTGTAGATATAGCAGCCAAGACAACATATCCAGAAGCTGCAAACCATAATGGTATCCCATCTTTCATAAAAACTTCATCTCTTTTCTTCTGCTCAATGTGTGACTGGGATGTATCCTCGTCTGCAGCATCAATTGGAACCATTAGAGAACCTCAAATATGCCAGAAGAAAGTTTTAACATATTAATGTGTATTTGGGGCTTAAGATAAGGGCTGCTACTAGGAAAAAAACAAAAAGAAACAAAAAAAATGGGGGGGGGCTAACTAATTGAGTTGTTGAAATGGATTGGACAATTGTGGTCCAGACCTAGCTCTGATACCACTAGTTGGGACTTGGGATCAAGCGCTTACAACTACGCCAAAAGTTATAGCTAGTAATGAAGGCACAACTTTATTTCTTTATACCGCCACATTTTCGAGAGGCAGAGTGCTAGACTTGACCCTTCAAGCCTCCGCCCAACAATCCCCTAACCACCTGGTGCTGAACTTGGCCTTTCACCGGCCTCCACCCAACAAGGGTAGGAAAAAAGCAATTCAGCATGTTCACCATGAAGAGAGCACGTGTGCTGATTTTTTGGTAAGAACTCTGATAGGATGGGGCAATAGGAACATTACAATAGGATTGACCAGGCAAGGTTTAGATGAGCTAATTAACAATGACAGGAAGGATAGAGCCGGCCTCCTTGAGAAAGTAATTCTAGGTTAATTTCCTGATGTACTAAATAAGAATCTTGCTTGACCGCAATGACCAGGATAAATCTAGAGTTCTATAATTGTTATCTATAGTAAGACTTGCAATTTCTAAAATACCTTATTATAAGTAACTAAAGACATGTTCAATCTTTTATGAAGCGTAACAGGGAAAAGATTCCATCATTTCTCACCTAAGAGCTCCAAGGTGATAGGAAGATTCCTCTGGTTGCTGCTACTTCTGCACACTTCCCTTACAGTTATTGCTATGATCTTAATCAGGTTATAAAGACCATCGCCAAGAATAAGAGAAATGGCTATAAACACCTGCAAATAAATACACAAGTGGGAAGTTAAATATCAGAGCATAATATGGGGATCATGGTTTGCACTTTGCAGAAATACATAAACAACAATTTCTCTCTTGTATCATGTTTCTCAGATTCCAGGGCAAAGATTTCAATAAAAGTGTTTACGAATTTTAGTTGATGCTATATGGGAAAAGAAATTTCTTATAGAAGATATGGGGGGAGGTAAAAGAACTTTTACTAAGAGATTCAGGCCAAAAATTACTTAGAAATACCTTATAACCATAGAGACCTTTAAAGTCATTGCTCTCAAGGTCTGCAGGGTACCAATCACCAGCACGCTGAGAAATAAATGGCCAAAGGAAACCCCACGATATAATTGCTCCAAGAAGAACTGAACAGTTGACTATGTGAGGGCAGATAAGACCACATCCAATATAAGTAGGACTAAAGTCAAAATAGAACCTGTATCGTGGGGCATTATTAACAACTATAACATCAACAATTTGACCATATACACAGCATGGCAGGTTGAAGGAATTAATTAAAACTATCCACAGATCCTGTGAGAGGAGAAACTTATTAACACTAACCGACATTCACCACATTGTTCAGAAATCAACTTTTTCTAAACAGGAGACAAAGTGTTTGACTAGTTAGCAGGAAAGATAAGCTGTAATACTTAAACTACCTGAGCGTTAGGTGTATTTTTGGTTACAGAATTTACATGTTATATTAAATCAGAAGCAACTTTATTGGAAATGGATAAAGAAACGACTCCAGCATATCTGATATACCAATTTGGGAAGCTAGAAATCTCTCTACAGCCGCCCCCACCCTCCTCCAAAAACTAAATGAATAAATAAATAGATAAAAAAGAGCGGGAAACCAAAACTAGAAAATCACACAGGACAAGAAAAGGATTGTGTTTTTCTTTTCTTATCCACACACAGAGAGAGGAATGTTAAGCAAATGGCAGGATTTTTAACATGTGCATGAGGAATTGACAACATATGTGAGAAATAAATTTTTGGGCATTTTATAAGCACATTTAATAACTCTTATGAATTAAAACAACTAAAGTGATGCAGAAAGAAAAGGATGCAGTAGTTTACGTATTCTCAAACAGCTTCAATCCAAGGGTAGGAAAATTGTCGAATCCACATGAATCACCAATACCACTAAAAAACCATTTGAAGCAGCTCCAGCAGAAGCTAATACTCAAATATTTTCCTAGACAGCTTACTTGTTTCCTGTAAAATAATAATGCAATCGTAAGATATTATTATGAAGTTACAAAATATATTGAGAATATTTTCATCTGCAAGATAGCTGTAACTTATAGAAGTTAGCTAAGAGATCTTGCCTTGCAAGTTCAGCTCCACTAGTTGTGTGAAAGCTATTTATTAGCATTGCCGTGGCAGTACCACTGGGGTATGTTAGTTTATAATCCATAACCATGACCTGAAATTACAGAGTTGTGGAAATAAAAGAGGATGAAAAATGCAACATCCCATAGAAAGCCCCAGAATTTGTATTTTAATACACTATAATTGCAGAAACATTTTTCAAAACAAATACCTCAGTCACCATAACAAGCTGATGCACTCACACTTAGTTCTCTTACAATGCATATTAAATCAGAAGATAAATACAAATGAAGAAAACTAAAGATGACCGAGCAGATGAAAACGATGTAGAACTCAGAAGCTGTAGTCATTAATTTAATATTTAGAACAAGAAAAAATTTGAATGTAAAGGCGATTGAACCATAGTGAAAGAGATACCTTGCGAAGTGGGACAAGGCTGAAAAGGCCAAGAAAACTGACAACAAATATGAAACCCATCATCCATAACAGCCCTGGATTCTTCACATCCTCTGCTCTATTGCCAGGGTAATCTGGCCCAATGAGCTGGTATGTTTTCTCATCCATAGAAAGCAAATATGATCCAAATCCACCTGAAAATTATAAATGGAAATTAAGCCTGGTAACAGAAATAACACATTAACACAAGCATACAATGATGCAATCAAGAGAACACGCAAAACAAGAAAGTTCCCATCTTTCCTTTGTGATAAGATGAAAGGATAGAAAATAAACTTTGTTGATGTGACTTGGGAAACTGGGCGTGTGTATAATAATAAAGTAAAGAAATGAATATTCAACATTTCCTTTTTGAGTGATATACAAAATCCAGTGACAGCAAGATCCTTCCTCTACACAGGCAGCAGAAAAAGAACAAGCACAGGTCTAACAATATCACTGAACAAGCAAAAGATCAACCAAAACAAGTAAGATGGTACCCTACTTTACTATCAGATTTGATATCAATTGCGCGCTTAGCTCAATGGTTTAAGTAGGCAGCAGTGTGGGGATGGGGATTACGCCCAAAGTGGACAGATCCATTGTGCGCACTCACATTTTATCTCCTCTCAAATGCTATGTCCAGCCTTGGGATTGGGAGTTCAACACATTTATTTATAAGTTAGAAGGAGTCAAGAAAAGATAAACATTCCAATTATGCATTATTAATATGACTTTTAAAGAATTAATTGATTATGTGAAGATATTTTAGGAAAAAAAATTATTCGAACAATATTCTTTTCTCATAGGAATCCATGGTTACCAACTCCTGCTAAGGATTCTGATTCCCAAGTTCTAAATTTCTGATAATCTTACAAAATTAAATATATAAAAAAAAATTAAAAAAAAACAAACAAACAAACAAACGCCCTAGAATAAAGGGGATGTAAGGGGTAGAGAAGTAAAAGATATTTACATACCGCTAAAGGCGAGGCCATAGCAAGCAACAACACAGGTCTGAATAACGGTATTCTCTTGTCTGGTAAACGGCTGAACCGAAAAGCCGAGTTTGGAGAGAAAGGCGGTCCAACTCTTGACGAAGAAGAAGCCGAGCAAACCAGCGGCAACATTGAGGGAGGGGATGATCCCAACCGTGAGATTGAGCTTATGGGTGATTATACAGAAGAGGGTTCCAAGCACCGCGCTCACCACCAGACCCCTAACAGTAATCTGCTCCTTCCAATCTGGAATCTCATCCACCTCCGCCTCCACTTTGTTATCATCTAACAAGTGCTCCGTTATCTCTGCTGCCGCATCCCCATTGCTTACGGTTCCCATCCTTGTTGGTGACAGCTAGGAGGAGTGAGAAGAGGTGGAGAGATCAGAAGATTGATCGTGAATGGTGGTGATGAAGATGAAGGGCTGGGAAGTTGAAGAAAAGACAAGAAAAGAGGTTGCTTGCTGGATTGGTACTTACTACTTAATAGGCGAAAATGATGGGCAACGACTGCAAGGAGATAGGGGATGGATGAGCATTGGTCAGAAGAGAGAGAATGGTGGTTTCTACTATTATACTAGTAGTAAATAGTAAATTACCCACGGATAAAAACAATTTAATGATTTAATTCCATTTGTAGTCCCTAGGCGGCAGACCACTTTCCTTTTTAATCAGAACATTCACTTTTTGTTATAGTATTATTGTGGCGGGGTGATTATTTTTTATTATAATTTAAATATTATTAAATACAAGGACATTTCGATTTTTATTATGAATTTAAAAAAATATAAAAAAAAGTCTTTCAATCTACTTTGTATAAAAAAAATATTAAAATGTCTTTGTATTTAACAACATTTCGACGATTTTATTGATGGAGGACTAAAAGTGGTCATGCCAAAATAATACTATGATGAAATGAGGATGTTCTAATAAAAAATGACTAAAAGTGGATTGTCACCTATAAATCTAAAATCAAAAATGGAATTAACTTTTTTTTTTAATTGTAATTATACTACTATTACGGTAATTATTCTTCCCAAACTATTAAAGTAATTATTAGTTTAATGAATAAGGATCAAATATGTCACTCAACTGCACACCAAAGTATAATTAGGTCATCAGACTCAAAAAAATGCAATTGGGTCCCTGAATAACATAAAATCATGCAATCAGATTCAAAATGACCTATTTACCTGAAAGAATGCTGACATGGCGATTACTAATTTTAAAAATAATTTTAAACAAAATAATTAATTAAAATTAATATTTAAAAAAAAAAAAAAAAAACTGCCGTGTCTCCCTGGCCATGGAGACGAAGGTCTTCGTCTCCCTAGCCATGGAGACGACGGCAGTTTAGTTTTTTTTTTTTTTTAATTATTTATTTTATTTAAAATTATTTTTAAATTGGTAACCACCATGTCAATATACTTTCAGGTAAACAAGTCATTTGAGTCTAATTGCATAATTTTGGGTTGTTCACTTATCCAATTGCATTTTTATTTTTTTTAGTTCGATGATCTAATTGCATTTTGGTGTGTAATTGAGTAATCTATTTGACCCTTATTCCTTAGTTTAATTACAATAACAATTATTAATTAGTAATACTAATATTTATGCAATTAATTATGTAATTATCATAATAATTAGACAAACTATTTGTTAGTCTTGGAATAAACCACTCACACACATGAACAAAATGAGAGTGTTAAAAGACATCACAGACACAATATTGAAACCGGTCTAACCTTACTTGCTCAAGCTTCTATCCCTCACAGATTGTGGGTTTATGTCTATTAAACTGCGGTCTTTCTAATTAACCTTAACCCTCCGCTACCTTAAACAATTCGAGTCCCTATGAAATTATCAACGAAACAACTCCCAACTACTCCTTCCTTTGTGTTTTTGATTGTCTATGTTTTCATGTCTCTGTTCCTACAATAAATACAAAATAGAGTATCATTTTGCTTCGTTTGTCTTCCTTGGGCATTCTGAATCAAAAGAAAAGTTTATTGGACAATTGAAAGATACAAAGTCAGACTTGTTGCAAAAGATTCAATCAGGTAGAATGAGAATATTATTTTGACACTTTAAATCCGATGGTCAAACCAACTACAGTAAGACTTCTCTTCTCTCTTGCTATAACTAAACAATGGTATATCAGACAACTTGATGTTCATAGTGTTGTTCTTAATGGCTGCCTAAGTGAGAATGTCTCTTTGAAGCAACCACCAAGATATATTGCCAACAATTTTCTTACTCATGTTTGCAAACTACAAAAATCTTTATATGGTTTGAAGCAAGCACCACGTGAATGATTCAAACGTCTTCATGATTATATTCTCTTGATTGGTTTCAAGGCTTCAAAAACAAATGTTTCATTGTTTATCTATTATGTTGCTAATGCTCAAATTTATTTACTTGTCTATGTTGATGATGTACTAATAATGACCACCAATGAAAACCTCTTGGCTTCAAGATCCGAGATATGGGACATCCAAGCTTCTTCTTGGGAATCAGACAGTTCACAACAAGGAAGTGATGATCAAGTCACAACGAAGGTACATGCTAGAAATACTCAAGAGATATGGAATGGAACACTGCAATGGGGCGATAATCATGTCACAATCCCACACAGTACCGCACCTCTTGGCTTCAAGATCCGAGATATGGGACCTCCAAGTTTCTTCTTGAGAATCGAGACAATTCACAACAAGGGGGCGATGATCCTGTCACAATCCCATACACAGTACCGCAACATAGTTGGGGCACTTTAGTATCTAACTATCACTCGTCCAGATAATACAAAGCTATGGTTCGCTCCGGCTCCTACTAGAACTCTATTCAACCAATTTTGCCAACCCCTTGCTTGAGATGCCATCATATCACAACGTACTTGGCCAGGTTTCACTATGCCCGCAAAAATCACCAAAACTTTAGTGTGACAATCTTGGTGCTACCTATTTGTGTGCAAATATTGTGTTTCATGTTCGAACCAAACATGTTGAAATAGATTATCATATTGTTTATGACAAAGTAACATCCAAGGAACTACAAGTAAATTACATCTCTACAAAAGACTAATTGACAGGCATCTTCACCAAGCCACTAATCACAACAAGATTCAATTATATAGGGACAAATTCAGCGTTCTCTCTAGAAAACCTTAAACTTGAGGGGACATATTAAGACTCAGTATTCTAGTAATTACACTAGAATTCTTCCTCTCTGTATTATTGTAAATCTATCTTTCATTATTTCTATCATGACTAGAACTCTTTGTATTACTATAAATATATCTATTATTGTATCTTGTAAATTGAATTGTTCAATATTAAAAAACACCCCATAATTATTGTTATCATTGATTTAATGTTAGTTTACGGGTGAATGTGTTTTCCAAAACATATATAAAAAAATATACAAACTTTGAAAATGCTATTGTCTTCGTCTGAGGAATAAATGATGGCTATTTTCGTTCTCATCAAACGAGGATAACTAACTATGGCTATTCTCATTCAACTTTTCCTTTAAAACAACGGAAATACAGTTGCTTATACAATACTGTGGGTGACTACCTTTGTGTTCTTCATCTCACGTCAGGGACGAAGTAAACCATGTGTAATTTTTTTATTATTATTAAAAGCAGAACGAAGACAAGTTGTACCCGTCTAATCAAGGACAAAGCTAGAAAATAATTTTGAGACCTTATTAATATTTAGGGTGCGTTTGGTTCGCACATAGGAATTGGAATCGAAATGGGTATTAAATACTTGGTAATGGTAATGGGTTTTGGTGAAAGTATTTAACATGTTTGGTAGTAGGGTGGAATGAGAATGATTACTAATAGTAGTGCTTGAAAATGAATAAAGGAATGAAACCCTTATTTTATTTGGGTATGGATTTTTCAATTGATGGGATATTCCAAACCCATAGTAGTGTTCTAAAAACCTATCAACCAAACAACAACAATCACTTTCATACCCATTCATATGGACAAAACTCACCAACCAAACACACCCTTAGTTGTACTTGTCTAATCAAGGACAAAGCTAGAAAATAATTTTGAGACCTTATTAATATTTATCCCACAATGTATGGATGAATCGTATCCATCCATTTAAGATGATCGAGGGCTAAAAATTTTTTAAAAAATGACATTTTCATAATTATCATAGTACATTTAAAATTGACAGTGAACCTATGATCTATAATAGTGCACTCAAGACAAGAATATATACATATTTATCAACCAAATATTTAAATATAGTTCTTTATGTAATTTTATAATCCAACCAAAATATCATTCCTATTATATATTCATTTTCTATTTCATTTCTTCTGAAACATTAATCTTAATTCCTTTATTTTCATTTGTAAGAACCAAGCACTATGTAAGATGTTCTAATCTCTGTATTCCATACTATTGAGTCAAGAGGATACACATATTTATACTAGGCTATGCACACTAACTATGGTAAGGATCAATAATATCCCTAAGATATTATACTGAGATCATATCAAATATTCTTCCACCATATAATGTCTAACACTCCCCCTCAAGTTGGAGCATAGATATTGATAATGCCCAACTTGTTACATAAGTAATCTATTCGAGGCCCATTCATAGCTTTTGTAAAAAGATCTCCTAGCTGTTCTCTTGTCTTCACAAATCCAGTAGAAATTAAGCCTCGTTGTATCTTTTCACGAATGAAATGACAATCAACTTCAATGTGCTTGGTTCATTCATGGAAAACAGGATTGACTGCAATATGGAGAGCCGCTTGATTGTCACACCATAGCTTCGCAGGAATAGAGGCCTTGAGCCCTATTTCATCGAGAATGTGATATATCCACAAGATTTCACAGGTTGCCTGTGCCATTGCTCTATATTCTGACTCTGCACTCGATCGTGAGACAACATTTTGCTTCTTGCTCTTCCACGAGATCAAGTTTCCACCAAAGAAGACACAAAATCCGGTTGTAGACCTCCGATTCTCCTTAGACCCTGCATAGTCTGCATCTGCAAAGCACTCAATGTTCATATGTCCATGGTTTTGATATACAATTCCACGTCCTGGAGCACCTTTCAAGTAGTTCAGGATTTGTTCAACAGCTTTCCAATGATCAATAGTTGGAGATGCCATAAATTGACTTACAATACTTACTGAGTAAGCAATATCAGGACGAGTTACAGTCAGATAATTTAGCTTACCAACCAATCTTCTATATCTTTCTGGATCATCAAATAGCTCCCCCTCTGATGTCAACTGTGAATTAGGGATCATTGGAGTATTGCATGGCTTAGCTCCTAGTTTCCCTGTTTCTGTCAATAGATCAAGTATATATTTTCTCTGGGAGAGAAGTATACCTTTCTTACTCCGTATTACCTCAACACCTAGAAAATATTTTAATGTACCAAGATCTTTAGTCTGAAATTGACTGTGAAGAAAGGTCTTAAGAGATACAATACCAGCGGTGTCACTTCCAGTGATGACAATGTCATCCACATAGACAACTAATAAAATAATGCCTTTCTCAGAGCGTTTATAGAAGACAGAATGATCAGACTTTCCTTTTATCATGCCAAACCTCTCAATCGCTTGACTGAATTTTCCAAACCATGCACGAGGGGCTTTGCTTAAGGCCATACAAAGATTTGCGAAGTCGACAAACCTTACCATACTCCCCCTGAGCAACAAACCCAGGTGGTTGCTCCATGTAGACTTCTTCTTGAAGCTCACCATGTAGAAAAGTATTTTTAATGTCCAGTTGATGTAAAGGCCAATTAAATCTAGCAGCCATAGAAATAAGCAATCTGACAGAGGTCAATTTTGCAACAGGAGAAAATGTGTCAGAGTAATCAATACCATAAGTTTGTGCATACCCCTTAGCAACTAAACGAGCCTTCAACCGAGCTACAGATCCATCAGGGTAACCTTCACCATGAACACCCATTTGCACTCAATGGCCTTCTTCCCTACAGGTAAATCTACCAAGTTCCACGTACCATTGAAATCCAAGGCATTCATCTCCTCAATCATAGCGTTACGCCAACCAGAATGGGACAGTGCTTGTTTGACAGTTTTAGGAGATATGGGGTAAGTGGTTGTAAGAAACAAACGATGAGACAGGATAAGTACAAATTCTTTTACCTTTGCGTAGGGCTATTGGCAAGGTAGCTGGATCAGACGACGAAGAATCCGGCTCAGGACATGAATCTGGCGTATTGTCAGGAACCAAAGTAGTGTCGGGATTCGGGTTAACCTCTTTTGGAACAGACTGGTGTTTACGAGAATATACCTGAGTGATTGGTGGTCGGGAAGGTGGAATACAAGCGGAAGCGGTGGTAACCGTATAGATGAGAATATCATCATCACTGTCGCCATGGCTTTCTGAATTTGAAGAAGGTGAGAAGGAAACATCTTCATGGAAGGTTACATCAATAGACACGAGATATCTTCCCGTTGACGGACAATAACACCTATACCCCTTTTGAACACGAGAATATCCCAAAAAGATGCACTTTAAAGATTTAGGATCTAATTTCGTGATATAGGGCCTTACATCTCTCACAAAGCAAGTACATCCAAATGTTTTTGGTGGAATAGGAAATACAGATTTGTGAGGGAAAAGACACTGATAGGGTGTTGTACCATGTAAGACTGAAGACGGCATACGGTTGATCAAAAAACAAGCAGTAGAGACTGCATCAGCCCAAAAATGTTTTGGAACCCACATTTCGAACAGGAGAGCTCGAGCAGTTTCTAGTAAGTGCCTGTTTTTGCGTTCAGCAACCCCATTTTGAGATGGGGTGTCAACACAGGAAGATTGATGTAAAATTCCATGTTCAAGCATATAAGAGGAAAAGGGTTCAGAAAAATACTCTTTAGCATTGTCACTTCTCAATACACGAACATGTATATTAAATTGTGTTTGTATCTCAGCACAAAAAGCACGAAAATGGGAAAATAATTCAGAACGACTTCTCATAAAATATAACCAAGTCATGCGAGAGAAGTCATCAACGAAAGTAACAAAGTACCGAAACCCGGTTTTGGACATAACACGACATAGACCCCAAACATCAGAATGAACTAACTCAAAAGGAGCACGTGCTCGTTTATTGACTCTAGGACTTAAACTAACTCAATGATGTTTAGCAAATTGACAAGACTCACAATTTAAAGAGGACACCTTACTAAATTGCGGACACATCTTTTTCAACAATGGTAAGGATGGGTGCCCTAAACGACAATGGACTTCCAACGGAGTACCCATCCCAAAGCAGGCAACAGTTCTCGGTATACTGGAATCAAGAATATAGAGGCCACCAGACTCATGCCCTTTACCAATAATCTGCTTCGTCGTAAGATCCTGGAACATGCAGTGAGTGGGAAAAAAGGTTATGGAACAATTTAGAGCATTAGTGATTTGACTAACAGAGATCAAATTAAAAGACAAGTTGGAAAGGCTCAAGACCGAGGATAACGGGAGATCAGGAGTCGGATTAGCAGTGCCAATCCCAAGCACCCTAGAGGTGGATCCATCAGCTAGAGTGACATGGGAAGTTGAAGGAGAAGATTGAAAGGTAGATAGGAGGCTAGAGTTACCTGTCATATGATCCGTGGCTCCCGAATCAATAACCCATTTGGAAGCTGAAGAGACGAGGCAAGTGTTGGGATTACCTGAGGTGGCAGCCGCTACAGTTGAGGGAGATGATGAGGATTCTTGGTACTTCAGGAACTTAGCATACTCATCTGCAGAAAATACAACCGTTTTCTCACCATGAGTATCAGAAGACACAATATTGGCAGACCGATTGCCCTGATTTCTATTCTGAAGCTTTCGGCAATCCTTCTTCATGTGCCCCGGTTTCTGACAGTAATGGCAAATGATTGGATTATACTGCTGGCCATGAGGATCCCTATTGTGATATGACGACTTCACAGGCTCCCCCTTTGACTTCTGACTGACAAGAACACTACTCGACTGAGGGGGTTGATAGGTCTCTGTGCGTAATACTCTAGAGAATACATCAGATAGGGATTTGAGCTCCTCACTGGACAATATCTGGGACTTGGCTGGTTCTAGTCGAGGATGAAGACCAGCCAAAAAACTCATGATGGCCATTTGTTCTCGTTATTGCTGCTGCACCTTTATGTCCGTTGTGAACGGCATTAATTCATTAAGAGCCTCATATGTTTTCTTGAACTCCATAAAATAAGTCTGCAGAGGTTTGTCAAGCATGTCAGCCCTATAAAAAGCCTTACAAACATCATAGATTCGAATAATGTCGCCCTTACCCGAATACAAAAAATTAAGATAGTCTAAGAGCTCTTTGACAGTTTCACAATGACTAACAAAACCAAATATTTCAGATTCAATTGAGTTCCGTATTTGAAGAAATAATTTAGCATCATCACGCAACCAAGTTTGCTTAGCTTTGTCATCCTCGGGTGGGGTGGCAGTCATATGGGCATCTTTGTCAATACTACGCAGATATATTTTAATGGTTCGTTTCCAATCCAAATGATTTGAGCCATTTAATTTGTGTTCTGTGATTCTTGCATTAACTGGAAGAATATCGAACACAACTATAGACTTAGGCTCAGACATTAGGCTATCCAACAAGAAGATATCTCAAATCAGACAACCAAACTTCCAGAATCAGACCTCTAAGCCACAACAAACACACAAACAGCCACACAACTTCACTGTCTTGCAAAGCAAAAAATAAGAGGGATATTACCGGGACCTCCAATGCCAAAACCGAGCCTAGAGCAGCGACGTAGAAGACCGGGCGACCTCGGGAAAGTAGACCGGAGTGGATTCCGGCGCCGGAGTGACGCACACGCGCCGGCGCGTGGACAGCCGGCGAGGGACGAAGGCGGGGCGTGAGGGCCACTCGCCGGGCGAAATCACGTCGAATTCAGCAGTCCGGCCTATCAACGACCGGCGACTCTGCTCCTGATGGTAGTGACGACAAACGGCCGGCGACAATCCCGACCCAAACCTCCACCGTGCGCAGAAGCAGAAAGAGGAAAAAAAAAAAATTCTGTGTTTTTTTTTCTTTATGTGGCTGTTGATACCATGTTCTAATCTCTGTATTCCATACTATTGAGTCAAGAGGATACACATACTTATACTAGGCTATGCACACTAACTATGGTAAGGATCAATAATATCCCTAGATATTATACTGAGATCATATCAAATATTCTTCCACCATATAATGTCTAACATAAGAGATTTAAAAGGCTTGGTCCTCTTAATGCCAATGTTCAAGAGGAAAGTCAGTAATGTTTCAAAAAATGATTCAATCAACTAAAGAAAATGTATAGTAGAAAAAAGTTCAACTTGTGATAATAACACTAAAAGCAGAGCTGAGGGCATTTTCTAGATTTATTTGTATCTCTGCAAAACTATTTCATCCAATGCTTTGTGCCACAGAGAATTGTTGCTCACCACAGCTTTATGTCACAATGCAAAAGAGGTAACATAACAAGTCTTCTGGACTGAAGTATACAAGAACACGAGTATGACTTTATACATGTCAGGAAACCTGATCAAATTCAAAAGAAAACCAAATGATAGACATCAGTCCCTAATATTAACTCCAAAATTCTTATATTTCCAAAAAAAACAAAAAAACAAAAAAACAAAAAAAATCTAAAATTCTATGGCAAGACCTAGTGCTTGTCCTCCTTGGGGAGGTCTTTCTTTGGTAACTCCTTCGGTTTTGCATTCTCCATTTCCCTGATGGAAGAATATAAAATTAAGTTAGTACAAGCTAACGCAGTGAAGCAAAAGTGCAGGATGCAAGCTATTTCAAATAATTGAATACACTGGTAGTAAAGATGTCCAAGATCATTACTGATTGTTGCTGGAAATAAACCATTACTGTTTAACTATATAAACAATAAAATAGTGACTTGACAACTGCACATGACCAAGCCCCTTGTCATTAGTTTTACAAGCCCAAAAAATATATCCAACTTTCATTCCGCACAGATGCCACGCTATAGTTATCACACTGAAGGAGTGAAGGATTTCAGTTCAACTTTAAGCTATTCTACACACATTGCATCCTGAAATGGTTTTCCGCATTTCCTTTGTAGTGTGCTAAATGTTGTCCACTTTCCTTAAATAAATGCCACAAATAAGTTTACTTTCCACATTATCCTTCTAATAAAATTCAGAAAGTCATTATCCACCTAATATGGGTAAAAGAGAAAAAGTAGATACTCGTCCTCTACTATTCTTATAAATTGTGTCTAAAGTAAATGGGATAATCAATTTGGGATGGAGGGAGTATGCCATTAGATTCTTGTTTGAAAATGCAATTCAACTACATAAATTTATAAAAATAAGCATTTAATTAAGGGTAAATCTGAATTACAAAATGGGTTGTGTGGAGTGCCATAACTCCATAAGGACCGTGTCTAAGAGCATCCATATCAATGTTGAATATTTTGTGGTTTTTTAGGTCCACATAGGAGAGAGAAGATGGAGAAAAAAAAAAAAAAAAAAAAAAGGAGAAAAACAAAAGGGGAAGAAAAAAAACTGACAAACTATAATTTAAAAAAAAAAAAAAAAAAGAACAAAGTTTTACTGCTTTCTTCAGCTGGCAGGCAGTGCACGCCTGCCATTTTTTTTTTTTTAATAAATTCTGACAAATCCCAAACCTTGCTGGAGTTAAATTTGCCAAAAAACTTCCTCCCCCATCAGTTCTTTTCACCCTACACTAGTTTTTTCTCTGCCAAAAACCCAATAAAAACTACTACTATGGATGCTCTAAGGACTAGTGGATATTGATTAGCAGTTGTGTTAACACATTTGGGAGGTTATAGAAACCAAATACCATCTAGAACTGAGTCAAAGGTTAGCTCTAGCAAGTACAATGAGTGGATTGTGGAGGAAAGAAAGTAAACCAATTGTTTGTTGTGTTTCCAGACCACTCAATGAGGTTCTACTACAAGTGACTGCTGATGTAAGAATTGAAGTAAATAAGCAATTGCAGAGTTCCAAATAGCCGGTGCAATCGGATTCTTAGCATTAGATGGAATGCCCCTCTAGTTAATTTTGCACCTCAACAGTTAAACATCCCTTTTATCCGTTTTGTTTTATGGGAACGCTTACACATTTAGCCCTAAATCATCTAGGAATGCAATGAAGAACAATAACCAGTTTTGAAAATAACTCTCAAGTCTCAAATAAATATACCAATTCCCTTTCTGCATCTTTTTTTTTTTTTAATCAAATACTCAGCAAGTAATATTCATACAGTAAATAGCATAATTTCTAGTTTCAATGTTTCGTCCAGTGAAGAACACGAGACTACAACTGCCATGAATGGAGTATTGAGTATTCATCCCCAAATCATAAACACACAATAATCTGATCTTACGCAAATAGCGAGAAATCGGTATGTACAACGAATCTAAAAGGGAATCAAGCTGGGAAACCAGGAAGACCAACGCTAAAGATTGTAAAACAAAAACAAAATATTGTCGGTAGGGAAGAAAGGGGAAAGCGTACTTGGCGGCGGAGGCGGATTCTTGCTCAAGCCAGTGGCGAATTTGGCGGACGTTGCGCCGGAAAATTGAAGCCGATTGTTTCACATCGCTCCTCATCAACAGTATCACTGCGCTAACTCCTGCCACTGTCAGTATGAAGTTGGTTAGCGCCATTTTGGTGACTCTTCGACTTACTACTACAAGGATTTGAATTCAATTTCTAGGGTTTATTTAGACGAAGTGGGAGGCTTGTTGAATGATGCACAATAATCCAAAATTTCCATATGTTTATATATATATATATATATATATATATATATATATATATATATATATATATATATATATATATATATATATATATACTAGTTTTTTTACGCACTTTGTGCGATTGAGATAATGCCCAATAATTATTTTTAAATAAATATTCCAAAGTATATCAATGCAATATTATATAGGAGATTTTCATGCATATGTAAATAAATGTTGAATTTGTTTATTTAAATCGGTAATTTAAAGTATATAAATGCAAGATAATATATGAGAAATTGATTATAATTGTCACTAAAATAAATGTTTGCAACTTTATAATAACGCTAGTCTAAATATTTAGTTTTAAAGCGATAGTCTAAATAAATACTACTTTTGATTTAAATTTCTCTAATTTTTCTTAATTCTTTTTTTGGGTAGCATTGTTATTGTTTTCATCTTCAGTACATGTCCTCTTTTTTTTCTTTTTTTTTTCTTTTTTTATTAGTAGTGTTTCATGTGCAATTAGGTTACTGGTAGCAGCATAGAGGGATTCATCATGCAATGAGATTATGGTGTAGGAAGTTTTAGATTTACCTTGCTGTGTATATGACTGAGATTTTAGCTGTAATATGAACTCTTTAGCGTACAAACACCTATTGATATTTAGTAGTGGTAGTTTTTTTCCTACATGTTTCATGTGTTGTGAGATGTGTGTCGCAGGTTATCATGTGAAAGTATTGAACGAAATATTAATATTTATTATATTTGTATAAAATACTTGGTAAATAAATAAATAAATAAATAAATAAATAAATATATATATATATATATATATATATATATATATATATATATATATATATATATAAAACATGTTTTGTATTATAACTTTGATATTTAATTACAAGATAATGTAAAAAAAGAAGACAATGAACAATGTAGTGAATATAATAAATTAATAAATTTGAAGGTAATGAATCTTTGAATTGTAGAAAATAAAGATAATATAACTAATGAAATTATATTTCTTTTAAATTTTTTTATAATGAATAATTTTTTTTAAAATAAAGCATTATAGACATTTAATTCTAAATTAATTAAATGCATATATATTCTTTTTTGTTGTAGCTACTAATTTATTTAATTAATAAGAGTAATAAAGTGTCGTACATACTTTTCTTCAACAATAATGAAATCAATGATTTTTTTTTTAATTTCCATTCCTTGTTGAGACAAATTGTTTTGTGAGTTTGTCCATAACAATTGCTACAATTGCTGTTAATAGAGGATGATAATAAATAATTCAAAATATATGGTTACAATAGATATTAATATAATGATATAGTAAAAATTAACTTACAATTTTTTTTAGAAGTTTTCATGCATTGATAAAATTTTGATGTGTAAACTTGTTCAATTGGAGCTAGTAGGATGTTAACATTGTCAATTATTTGAAAAATGATCCTACCGTTTTAGAGTCCATGTGTAATTGTATTTATGATCAACAACATTGTAGTTAGGCTGCGCAGGTCTGACAATGATGTAAGAACATTGTCCGATAAAAAAATAATAGTATAATATTAGTAATGTAATGTACAATTGTACCATTATAAAAAAATACAAAAAAAAATATTAATACCATAATGGCCTAAATCATTCCAATAATGCAAAAGCATAATTGAAATATTAAGTTTTGTTCTAAATAATCAGAAGAAGATTAATTTAAAAAAAAAAAAAAAAAAAAAAAAAAAAAAAACTTAACATAAATTTGTTTTTTTTTAATAAAAAAATTCAAGAAAATCAAATAATTTTAAAGTAGTTCCTGATTTATAATATTTGATGCTCAACTTTGAATGCTATGTATTTAGTCGAGCTAATTATTTGACCAAAGTTTATGTTAAATTTTATATTATATATTTTTTTAATACATTTTAACATATTCATAATATATGTTTAACAATTATGTCAATTATACTTGGGATGAGGTTCGAACCTAAGACCTTATATAAATTAGAGTTAATTACCGAAATGGTCCCTTGACTATAGTGAAATTACCAGTTTGGTCCTTGACTATTTTTTTAACCAATTAAGTCCCTCAACTTTAAAAACTTAACCAATTTGGTCCTCCGTTTGTTTGACCGTTAGTCAACCGTTAACCTGGGACCAAATTGGTAATTTTGCTATAGTCAGGGGACCATTTTGGTAATTAACTTTAGGGTGGGCAATCCGGTTTAGTTTTCTCGTACTGAACCGTACCAAATCGAACCGAACTAATTTGGTTCGGTAATATACCGAACGGTATTGGATTCTTGTATACCGAACGGTTCGATAAAAAACCGATTCGAACCGATCTGAGTTGTTCGGTAAAAAATTGAACTGAACCGAATATCGTTTAATTTTTTTTAAATATTATAATAATAATAATAATAATAATAATAATAATAATAATAATAATAATAATAATAATAAATAAATAAATAAATAAATAAAAAGTAAATCCATATCCAAAGCACGAGTATCTCTTGTAAACGTTTTATTTGATTTCTTTATAATTTGTTATCAAAAGTTCTACATTATGTGTTATGGTGTTTACATAGTCCATATCCAAAGTCTAATATATAACAAAATAGCAATCCAAAGTTCAAACGGTATTCGGTTCGATTCGGTTTTTACCAAACAAATTCAGTTCGGTTCGAGTTTTTACCAAACCGTTCGGTTGTTCAGTATATTACCAAATCTAACTAGTTTGGTACGGTTCGGTTCGAGAAAACTGAACCGAATTGCCCACCCTTAAAGTTAATTACCAAAATGGTCCCTTGACTATAGCAAATTACCAATTTAGTCCCAAGTTAACGGTTGACTAACGGTCAAACAAACGGAGGACCAAATTGGTTAAATTTTTTAAAGTTGAGGGACTTAATTGGTCAAAAAAAAATAGTCAAGGACCAAATTGGTAATTTTGCTATAGTCAAGGGACCATTTCGGTAATTAACTCTATAAATTAAGAGTATGTTAAGAATAATAAATAGTTAACGGAATATATGTTTAACAATTATATCAATTATACTTGGGATGGGGTTCAAACCTAAGACCTTATATAAATTAAGAGTATGTTAAGAATAATAAATAGTTAACGGAATATTTCGTTACTAAAGTTTAAACTAACGGAATTTAGGGTTATTTAAGGGAAGAAAATAATATAATAGAGGGTAAATAAGGAAAATCATTAAAAGATACTAAAATCAAAATAATATGAACCATTCATTTTAAGAAACAATTAGTACCGACATTTTTTTTTGTTCCAGTTAAGGGCCTAACATTATTCGCTCTTATTAGATTTGTAGATGTACATATTATATATATATATATATATATATATGAACAAATTGCACTTTTGGTCCTGTGAGTATTAGGGTACTGACAATTTGAGTACGTGACTTTCAAAACTCCCAATTTAAACCTTTAACTATGCAATTATTGGCAGATTTGGTCCTCTGGGCCAAATTGCCGGCCAATTTTGGCCGGAAAAACATAAATTGGTTCAAATTATTTTTTTACGAGGGTAAAATTGTCATTTCACTCCCTTCTTCTTCATTCTCCCTTTCTTCTTCGTTCTTCTTCTTCTTCTTCGCTCACCAGTTCTATCCCGCCGAGTTTCAACGGGTTGGTGAGACTGAACAAACTCGAGCTTTAGAACAATAATCTCTCCGGCGAGTTACCAAATCTGAGTCGACTTGGAAACCTGTACTTCGTAGACCTGAGTGATAACTCAATCTCCGGCGGTGTTCCCGAGGTCCGTCGTCGAACTCTCGATTCGAAACAACTACTTAACCGGCAGGATTGCCGTAAACGCAGTATCGGAGCTGAGGTGTTTACAAGTACTGGATCTAAGTCACAACGAGTTATCCGGAAGAGCGCCGGCGGCGCTCTTCCGGCACCGATCACTCCAACAGCTCACTCTTTTGTACAACAACTTCACACACTTGCAAGTCCCGGAAGACATGGGCGTTCTCAGCAAGCTGATCGCGATTGACCTCAACTTCAACAAACTGCACGGCTCCTTGCCGGAATTCATGGCGTCGCTGCCGATGCTGTCGGCGCTGTCGTTGGAGCATATCAAGTTCACCGGGACGAAGAAGAAGAAGAAGAACGAAGAAGAAATGGAGAATGAAGAAGAAGGGAGTGAAATGACAATTTTACCTTCGTCAAAAAACAATTTGAACCAATTTATGTTTTTCCGGCCATAATTGGCCGGCAATTTGGCCCGGATGACCAAATCTGCCAATAATTGCATAGTTAAAGGTTTAAATTGGGAGTTTTGAAAGTCACGTACTCAAATTGTCAGTACCCTAATACTCACAGGACCAAAAGTGCAATTTGTTCTATATATATATATATATATATATATATATATATATATATATATATATATATATATATATATATATATATATATATATACACTATCTATCTACTATCTATCTACTATATTAATAAGAGCCCAAGAGAATTAGGCCTATAATGAGTAGAAAAAATGGCGGTCACAGATTTTAATCAAATGAATGGCTCAGATTAATTAAAAGATTGATCAGATTTAAATTTTACACTAAAATTTTCTAAAATACCCACACATCATTACTAATTCCGTTAAAATTTTAAGAATTGCCGTTAGTTTACCGTTAACTTACTCATTGATTTCAATAAAAAAAGGTCTTAGGTTCGAACCCCAACCCAATCAAAGTTGGCATAATTAGTACTTTATTTTACTCTTATTAAATTATGTAAATAATAATTTAGTAGTTACAACAAAAAATAATACATATGCATTTCTTTAATTTAGAATTATGTGTCCACAATGCCTTTATTAAAAAAAAAATTATTCATTATCAATCAATTAAATAAGAGAAATAATTTTATTAGTTATATTGTCTTTATTTTTCTTCAATATAAAAATTCTTTATATTCAAATTTATTAATTGATTATATTCGCTACATTATCCTTACAATGTCTTTATTTAGTGAATTTTT